TCAATTAGACTTCTTTAGTTTTTCATGAGATGTATTTTTGATAACCTTTTCACTCCAAATTTGCAGCAAGAATGCTATTCTATGATGATCTATTCCACCATGTTGAAATCTAACAATTCTTACTTCATGGAAAATGTCGGATTTATCAAAAGTGACTAGCATTACCTGCATGACTGGCCATTCTCAATTAAACATAAGAGAGACCCAACCTCGAGACATGTTGGGGACTCTGGCTGTTGACGTTCTTGTATATTATGTAACTTACAGCCAAGCTTATCATGGGCAGAACTGGTTATATTTCTATATTATGGCAAATAAACAAAGGCAGCTACAACGAAATCAACTTAATGACTTTCTTGTACATGTGTTATGCAAAAACTGCATAGACATAGAATAGCAGAAAATTCTGATAACGCCTTTGTTTAGGATTTGGTTTGAATATTGCGCAAAACTACACGAGGGCTATCTGCACTAGCCGTTCGTAATTTAGCAGTGAAAGATTAGAGGTAAGACAAGCTAGTCATCACTATCCACAGCCAACTCTTGGCCAACTTTACCAACAAATAGTGGGACTGACCATCATACATAAAAGCTCCCACTGCTAAAAGGGCGAGCGTGTTTGGTGGGACGGGAATTCAAAACCGCGACCCGCAGATTGCAAGTCGAGTGCCCTAACAACCTAGCCATGCCAGGCCTAATTTAAAAAAATTCTACATTTAAATGAAAAGGTAGAAAATACATGGTATGCTTGCTTATCACAAGTACAAATAGAACATTAAAATGTAAGCCAGTCTTTTAAATGATTACCCCTTGATTTTTGTTTTGTTTTAGTTTCTTGGTTTAACTTTATTATTATTACTGGGTTTTTTTGGGGGGGTGGTGGCAAGAAAGGTATTGTTGCGTCAGCGAGGTCACGTGACTAGGGTCACGCCACGTTTCTAGAACTATCTTGTTCCTTCGTGAATGCCCTAGCATTTACTAGATATATGTTTGTCTGGTATATATATAAGACGCTCACAACGTGACAACAGTGTGTGTAGGTAGTAAGTAATTGAACTGCAGTCAGGAAGTATTGTTGAAGTTAACATTCGTTGTTAAAACGTTTGTAAAAGAGCAACTGTTGAAAATAAGTGTATCGGTAAAGTTATATTCAGAAAGAATAAACCAGTTTAATTAAGTAAGGACTTGTGTCGCTAAAGTTTCGTCGGAACGAAGTTACGGAAAATCAACTAACTAACGGAGACGTAACAATATTCTATTGTTGGACAGGATCTTTTGGATCATTTGATAAAAATAATTAATGTCAAGTTCAATCCACGTAACGATAACAAATTAACTTACTTCGTCTATAAAGTTTGCTACAGGCTAGTTCACTTTTACCCAAGTTGTAGGCCTAAGTTCACAAACAACATTTGAACAGAAATTCCGAGACTAATGGTAGGCCTCATTTTCAAATAAACTTACTTACAGAATCTCGGTCCTGATCTATCTATTAACTTAATTGACTCGATAAGTCTCACTACAAATACTGAACTGAATGACTTTTTAAATACTTCACTGAATTCTCATTGAATACTTAGTAACTCATTACTAATTAACTGCTCAGTCGTTACCCATTCACTTCACTAACTGTATTTTTGTAACAATTTTATTTCGTTGAGCTGGTTCTTTTAAATTATTAGGTGAAAATAAGTCCACTACATTTAACGATAACAACTTAATTATCTCTTCCATGACGTTTTTACAAGGTGTCTTCACTTGTGCGTTGTTGTAACTTGTTCTAAGCCTAAGTTTACACATAACTTCAAACGGAAATACCTTATAATGGTACTTCATGAACATAGAAATAAACTTGTTTTTACAAGTTCGTGGCTAATTAATTAAATAACCGAATGTACCCTATATATAACCATGCTTAGCTAGAACTGCACGCTTAAAAAACAAGTGATTATTCAACACTCATTCATTATTTACCACTACTGAGCTGTTTATTCGTGTCTGTGTCTGTATCTGTAGTCTTGTTTCTAGACATTTTGCGGAACTCTTTTGCTTACTAATATTCCCAAATATTCTAGGACGTACTTGATATCAACGCTAATATCTAAATTAAATCATTAAAAATATAGCTTACAACACTATTGTTTCGAGCTGGATAGGAGCATGTAGATAAGAACAAACAGTCACATCCTTCTGAAGCGTATTTAGTAAATGAAACTCAGTAGATGACTTATCCTGGCCAGAACTCGATTTTATAGTATGGCATTTGTGTGGTCAATTTTTATCGAGAAACAGGACTGCTGGCCGTCAATTATGTTTGATTAAATAGGTTATGGTTGTACTAAGAATACTGATTTCGCCGTTAACCTGCAAGTATGTGTGGTAGCTCATGGAATTACTATTCAACTTCGGTCCAAAAATCACTTTGTTTCCACACACCCCCACCCCACCCGGACAGTGTCCCTGTTAAATATCCTATAATATTAGGCTTAAAGCGAGCCTTTAAGCAGTGATGAAACTATATACTCACTGCTCTTTATCTCGATAATATTACTAAAGGTCTTTCATAATACGGACTGATTTTATTTGTTTTGTTTGTATCGAAACCCGCTTGTAAGTCCCCAGAAACTTACCGCTGTGCCACTGGGGGGGGGGGGGCAGGGACTGATAAGTATAGTATTTGAAACATGTATTGATCCCTTTTGTATTTCTATTATATGACGAATATAATAAACTGGATATGATTATTCCATGTAACTCCGTCCGTGGAGTTATGTTCTTTTTCTGATATTTCTTCTTTTTTTTCTTCAAATCTCCCTCTCTTCTACCCTTTATAGTTTCTTCTTCTTTTTTATAGTTTAACCACCCTAATATTATTTCATTAAATATGCTTTCTAAAGTATTTCAAGATCAGTTCATTCAGTTATTTCAATCAGTTTTTTTTTAATGTCGCGCAAAGCTACACGAGGGCTATCTGCGCTAGCCGTTCCTAATTTAGCAGTGTAAGACTAGAGGAAAGGAAGCTAGTCATCACCACCCACCGCCAACTCTTGGGCTACTCTTTTACCAACGAATAGTGAGATTGACCGCCACATTATAACGCCCCCACGATTGAAAGGGCGAGCATGTTTGATGGGACTGGGATTCGAACCCGCAGTTTGCGAGTCGAGCTCCTTAACCACCTGGCCATGCCGGGCCCTATTTCAATCAGATGCTTTTTCGGGCTTGGTGAAAATACAGTTATCAAATAACTGGTTTCATTCAAATGGTTTTAGTTTTGTTTTTCGGTATTGGTTACATACATGAAAATATACATTAATAGTTGTAGACATTGACTCAAGAGAGGAATTTATGGATTCATCGTTTTTATTTTATCATTTGTTTTTACATACATTTATTCCACAACAAAAGCTCTCTCTACAAGTGACTAGACATACCACAGACATAAACAATGCCTTATAAAAGTGTTTGTTTCTAACAGAAACTGATTGTATATTTTATTAATAGCTATGACCCTAACTGACAAAAATGAAAGCATCTTCTAATTCAAAAACTAACCTCATTATCCACAAACGATGTTCAAACTATACAGCTTTATTTGTAGTTAAGATGTTGTTGTTTGTAATTTAGCACAATGCTACACAAAGGGCTATCTGTGTTCTGTCTACCACGGGTATCGAAACCCGTTCGCGGACATACCACTGTGCCACTGGGGGGCAGTTAAGATGTATATGAAGATATATTCAAATATTTCCGCTGCTGTTCTCGTGTGTCTACATCAGCATAATACACTAACAAGATGGTTTCGCAATCTCTGAAACATGTATTTATACAAGTTATGTTGTTTCGTTGATACTGTATTATCAGTTCAACTATTGTAAAAAATAATATATAACTCTATTGGAAACTTTAGAGACACAGTTTAACCTAGTAAAATATTTCTTTCTAGGTAAGCGCAAAGCTATCTGTGTTGTGCTCACCATGGGTATCGAAACTCGGTTTTTAACGTTATGTTATAAGCCTTCAGACTTACCGCTGAGCTACTGGGAATCAAATATTTCTACCAGAATGGAAATTTGTATTGTGTTAAACTTTTACTAGTGGCCACTTTACAAGGATTCGGGGAGGAGCAGGGTTCCGTCGAAAGGTTTAATGATTTTCCAAACAACGTCTAAATTTGTTTGGAACACTGATTATGATTTTTGAACCTTAATGTTATGGTTTTCAATAAAAGTGTGTAGAAAATGTGTTTCTTTGTGTTAATCGATGATGCAAGTCAACCAGGAAGGTGTCCATTTCCTAAACTTTAGTGTTGCGGTTTTCAACAAGAGTGTGTTGAAGATTTGTTTTTGTTTTTGCTTTAGTCGATGATATGACTCAACCTGGACAATGTCCACTTTCCGAATTTTGGTGTTACGGTTTTCAACAACAGCGTGTGGTAGATTTGTTTCTTTGTCTGCGTTGATGATGTGACTCAACTTGAAAAATGTGCACATTCTGTTTGGTCTTGCTTGTCCTGTTATGTAAGTAATCCAACATGAATTGTCTTATGGAATTACACATTGTATTTGGTAGACTTTTGATTAATACACACAGAGTGACCAGCGATGATTTATACATGACTGATATTTCTTGCTTGACATACTTTATATCGCTGAATTATAACTCTTTTCCGTAACATTCAGTGCATATTTTAGCGAATATATTCCAATATTTGTAATTTTGCGTGCTCTTAACATTGTACGATTTCACGTGTTAACATGATTTATTGTGAGTCATTTTCATAATGCTCAGGAAGATGTTTTTAAATTTATATATTTAATAGTTTTAGTTTTGTTTAGAGGATGGAACAGCCGAGATGGACCAATAAGTCCCTAACATTATGTTATGTTATACTTAAAAATAATAGTAATGTCAAATCGTTTTCAGAAGGTAACCCTTCTTTCTTCAGTAATCAACTGTTTATGTCGTGACTGATTATATGAACAAATCTATTGGTCACATTGCACACATAACTACCCATAGACGAGATCACACTAGTTATGATACTATATACACAGCCATAACAACATAGTTTCTTCCAAAACAAACATTCGTATTTACACTTCATTAAGTTATAATTAGTCGTGGGTTTAGAACGATCTAGACATGAGGATTTATTATAAATAACTTTCTGTTTATATCTCTAGAGTGAGAACATGGGTTGTTTGGAGGGTAAAGCTACTGCAAGTTACGTTTGAATTTTTTTTTCTCAAAAAAAAAAAGTGCAATAAACATAGAAGAGAGGAGGTTTAACCCTCACTATTTGTCCTGCCTTCAAATAGCATGCTAAACAACTACAAAGAAAATTCTTTAAAGTTGAAATAATTTGCAGTAAAATATGCTATTGATTCTTTTAACTAAACATATTAACACAGTAACATAAAGCTTCCGTGCTACAGCTATGTCACGAGGCATCACGGGCTCAGGAGTAGCCATAGACATGTATATGAACGGCGCATCCTTGAAAGTCCCGTGCTGCCTTAACTTTAAGGTAAACACAGCACCTTCGGAAACTAATCGAAACCTTTAAAATAAGTTGAAGTCCACGTAGAAATGGCTAAACTAAAAAATTCATAAGTTCGGATGTGCTTCTTGGAACACTCCGTGATTTATGAATGACACTCTGTTACGAAGGTTCAAGTTTTGGTTGTGTGTGTGTGTGTGTGTTTTTTTCCTTCGTCTTTTTTTTCTTCTCAAATCTGGTCCTAAGCGACTTACTGCTTACGTTTGATACTGAAGCATGGGTGCTGGAAGATTGGGGTGTGGGGCTGAGTTCATTCGAAGAAATCCTTTATTATACCAGTCTTCCTCGTGTTCTTGACGCATAACGGCCATGTTGTGTGCAGCCGCGTGAGACATGGAGAATGGTTGGGTTGCCATTGGTGGGTAAGATGCTGCAGTCATGGGCTGGTAACGCGCTGCTCCTACCGAGTTGATCGGACTGTGGTGGGTATACTGATACGGCCGAGGAGTAGGAGATGCTGAGGAGTAGATGTTTCTCATCATGGCTCCATTACAAGATGGAAGAATGGAAGGAGAGGCAAGAGCTTTTTGCAGTTGTTTCTCCTGTTTACGGTACTTGGCACGTCGGTTCTGGAACCACACCTAGGAAACGTGAACGTTTCAGTAATACTATAGATACATTTTGCTTTTTCAGATAAGATTTTGTAAATATCTACACAAACAAACAAAGAAAAAAAAGCTTTGGACTCGGGGTTAGACCTAGCCTGGATTTTTGAACTGATCATGTAACAACCAATGTTTCGCATAAGAATGAAAAACTCGAAAGTCGCGATATTATTTATGAAATTAAAATAGATGTGTACACAGCTTCAATGAGCACATGGTTGAGCAAAAGAAAATGATTATTTACCCATTGAAAGTATGAGAAAGTGACTTCTTCAGAAAAAATGCAAACTTTTAGTGCACAGTTATGTTGTTGTGTGTGTGTTTTAGAAGAGATCGAACTATTAAACTCCGTCAACAATACAACTTCAAAACAATTACCCGTTCCACTTACACATATAATTACTAACCGCAAAGTTTATGTTTAAAATAAAAGTATTCTCAAAACAACAGCTTAAAGCAGACCAACCAAATATACTGAATATTTTGTTTATTACGAATATGTAGTTTTTGCGCAGGAACTGTCGATTCTATGATTTGCACACGACACGGAAATAGCGAGCTATCCAACATTACTCAGTAACATGTTGTCCACAAACAAGCGCAAAAGGAATAGAGCACATTCTATGATTGATTAGGTTACTAGTATATTGATATATAGATGTGGAATAAAATACGACAAATTGATTTGACAGCAAATCTCTGATGCGAGTAAAATACCAACTGCGCATGTCCAGTAATACACTGGTAACTGCTCCCTTTTTACTATTATTATTATTATTGTATAAAGTTTTGAGAACTACGTTCCAAAATATTGATAACAATGAGGGTACTAAAATTATAAGTCAATACATTCTATTCATTATAAGTTTTTGTTTACTTGTATTTTATACTTCCATAGTTAGCCCGGTATATTAGATTATCTAATGGCCTAATTTTTAGTTCTAATTTATACATATTATTAGCTTAAATCATAGGTTATTAACAAAATGTTTGTTAAAAAAATTATGGATGGTGATTTTTTTAAACCAAGCATTAATTTTCTTCTTACGGTTTCTGGTTTCTACGGCGACATAATCGGCGCTCTTTTGATCCAATCTGCTTCAAAAACTAATTACCTCGAGACTTTAAAATTACTTATTCGTCACATTTTGCTAATACACTAAATTCTATTAAAACTTAGTATGCATAATAACTTTGTGCTTTTATGCAACTGAATCAAATAGCAGCGAGCAAAGAAACATTATTCGTAACCAACTAACAATTAGTTTTTAAATAAAGGCCAAAACTAAAGTAACATGATATTCAATACCAAGTAATTAAGCTACAGCACGTATGTAGTCAATTTATTTGAAGTATGTTTCTGCAAACCAGACAAAAGACACTTTTTTTTTATTAAGAACAGCAACTTACGAATCTAAACAATAGGAAATACAATTTGTCAGTTATTATGATTTTTTTTCATTTTTGCAAAAACTCTTCAATATGGGCTTCTCATCTCAAATATAGATGGCGTTAAATAAAAATAAAAAGCTTTTTGATGACTATTGCTTGTTTCAGCACAAACATACACAATAACCTAACTGCGCTCAGTCCACCACGAGAGTTGAAAATCGAATTTTTGTGTTGTAAGCCCGTAAACTTACCGTTGACCCGTTGGGGGACTTGCTGAACTGTGTATTTTTCAATGCAGTTTACGTGCATATCGATAAATTTCTATAATAAATTTGATTAAAATATTATGAGGAAAGCTGTATAATATATTTACGATGTCATCAATGTGCTTATTTAATAACATTCTGCGTTGTATATTTGTCGAATATTAATAGAAATAACTTCCGTTCAGATGAAACATTCTGAATGAAGTTTTCCATTCTCTTTTAGGTCTAATTTTAGGCAGAAAGTTTTATTAACCGAGTTTAAAAAGCAGACGTTCATTCAAAGGACACTAATTACGTTTAGAATACTTAACTTAAACAAGTACTTTCAATATAAAGTTTTGTATTTGTAAGAATCTGCAAAACTGTAACAGAATCCGTTAAGTTTATCAGCATACACAGTGCCTTCTTTCTAGGTAATGACAAATAGTTACATCCGGGGATTTGAACCTCAATGAAACGATAAACAACAACAACAAAAAACGAATTTTTTCAAGAAACAGAAATGAAATTCATCTATTGCGTTCTGGAACGAATACGATAAATAAAATTTTCTTTTTCGGTTAATAACTGTTTTTTTTTTCGTACCCTTTCAGCCTGTTATACCTATCTCTTTTCATTGTTTTCAAATATACAGTAATCTGAAGAAAAAAAGCACTCTTTACAAAGTTTCATTCACAATTTAATTAATCACATTTATTATCAATGTGTGTCAATTAACTTGGCGTCAGAACATAGTTTATAAATAAGTTTTAATTTCTTAATTTAAAAAGGAAATATTTAAATAAGATTTCAATCTTCTCTGAGTCACGAGATACCTCTCTTCTCTGAATTCTCCTGTTAGATTTTGTTTTCTTCCATTGTATGGGTTTCGGAATGTTCTCCAATTACAAACATCAAGCACAGATATAGAAACACTAGAGCCCCCAGCTAAGATTTTATTTTCTAAGATATTATTAAATTTGTTACACCCATCTCAGAAGCTCCTCCCAACTCTTTGTGCTTTTGAATAACTTATTTATCCACTCTTACTTATCAATAGTACTTGTTTATAACCAGTAAAAAAAGGCCATTTTGCGAGGCATTCTGTTTTACTGTTTAAATTATTGTTTTGAATATCGCGCAAATCTACACGAGGGCTATCTGCGCTAGCCGTCCCTAATTTAGCAGTGTAAGACTAGAGGGAAGGCAGCTAGTCATCACCACCCACCGCCAACTCTTGGGCTACTCTTTTACCAACGAATAGTTGGATTGACCGTCACATTATAACATGGCTGAAAGGGCGAACATGTTTGGTGTGACGGGGATTC